CATAGACCCCTATGTCATAGCTCACTGCAATCTGGAACTCTTGGGCTCAAGCGATCCTCCCACCTCAGCCTCCTAAGTAGCTGGTACTACAGGCATGTGCCACAGCGCCAACCTAAGTTTTAAATATTTTTTTATAGAGACAGGCTCTTGCTACATTGCAGAGGCTGGTCTCGAACTCTTGACCTCAAGCGATGCTCTTGCCTTAGCCTCCCAAAATGCTGAGATTATAGGCACGAGCCACCGTATCCAGCCTATTTTTTAAATCTATAAGACATTCAGGTGATTTTTATCCCTTTAAACAAATCTTATGTAAAGTATGATATTATAGGACCACAATGTTAATTTCTTTTTCTTTTTTTTGAGTTGGAGTCTCACTCTGTCACCCAGGCTGGAGAGCACTGGCACGCTCACAGCCATCGCAGCCTCGACCTGCTGGGCTCAGGCGATCCTTCTGTCTCAGCCTTCCCAGTAGCCGGAACCACAGGCCTGTGCTACCACCCTCGGCTTACTTTTTTATTTATTGTAGAGATGAGTCTCACCCAGTTGCCCAGGCTGGTCTTGAACCTGTGGGCTCAGGCAATCCTCTCAACTCGGTTTCTCAAAGTGCTGGAATTATAGGCAAGAACCACTGCACTTGGCCTGCAGTGTTAATTTCTTAGTTGTGATAATTATACCAAAGATATGTAAGATGTTAATGCTGAGAAAACCGTGTAAAGGATATATAGTAGTAATGCGTATAAATTTTGCAACTCTTCTTTAAATTTAAAATTATTTGAAAACCAAAAGTTAAATCAATATAAAAGGATTGGCTTTTTGGAGCTATACGAGACCAGGCTTTTTGCAAACAGAAGGGCCTCACAATTAGCTCAAGGTCACATAGTGATGTTGGGGCTCAGAAACTGAAATTCCAATATACAGCACCCTGGTATGTGGTTTATTTTAAATTAAAGGCCCTTAGGAATCCCGCAGAGAGGCTGGAAGAAGCCATTCTCTAACGTTCCCTTAGCTGCCTGAAGTCTGAACCTGCCAAAGAAGAAAACTATGACCTCTGATCCCTTCTGTGAGTTTTCATTAACTTAACTCATATCACAGGAGGAAAGACTGAAGTCTGTCAATACACCTGGACAGACTTTTGTCACAAACTACTGTCTTCTGTTTCAGCCCCATTCAGTATTTCAAAGAGAATCATTTATCTGTCATTGTCTGCTCTGTAGGCCCAGTAGACATTGCCCCAGATCACTATACGTTGCCCAAGTCCATTCATTTTGTCCTAAAAATCAGTGACTATACCCCAAATTACTTCATATCCCCATCTCCTCTCCTCTATGAAGAAGGGTTTAGAAGCATCTGTACCCCAGTGAGCTACAAAGTAATCATTCTCCTATGATGCCCCCCCCGACTCCATGATATACATGCTAGAATAAAATTTGCATCCTTTTCTGCTACCAATCTGTTTGTTACCAGCTGATTTTTGGCAAACCTTCAGAGGGCGAAGGGGAAGTTATCCCTTGGCCTCCACAGAGGGCTTGCAGCAAAGCCTGACACCTAGCTTGGTGTTATTTCCCCTCCCTTATGCTACCACTGAGGAGTGAACCACCTCAGCTTCACCAGAACAGTTCGCTCATCTCCATCTGCTGGTACAATTCCAGGAATATCATTTAAATTACTTTCTTTATTATTTTTCTTTCATTTGAATAGGGGCCTCACTCTGTTGCCCAGACTGGAGTGCAGTCTATCACAGCCTATCACAGCCTTGACCTGCTGGACTCAGGCAATCCTTCTGCCTCAGCTTTCCAAGTAGTTGGGACTACAGGTGCTCTGAACTCTGGCAGTCCTCTCACTTCTACCTTCCTATGTGCTGGAACTACAGGCATGAGCCACCACGCTCAGCTAATTTTTTGATTTATTGTAGAGATGAGGTCTTGCTATTTTGCCCAGGCTGGTCTCAACCTCTTGGACTTAGGCAATCCTCTCACCTCAGCCTCCCTAAGTGCTGGGATTATAGGTATAAACCACTACATCTGGCACTTAAGTCTAGAAGACACACCAGTGTAAATGTGACTAACTAAGAGTGGCCCAATGCTAAAGTCAGAAAAGTTTAGTCATCATGTTCATTAACTATTCACTCAATAGCCAAGGTCAATACAAAGAGTTAGCATAGAGTAAAATGAGGCTCCGTTAAATGACAAATGTGAAACATTCACAGGCACACTGGTCTGGGCTAATCTATCAACCATAACTGGTTATCATTTCAATTAGAGACTCTCCTATAAAGTGACATTTTAAATTTTTTTCAGAAAGATGAAGGGGCTGAATGATGACATTCTGGGTCCCTGACTCAGTCTAAGCTATTGCAATTTGAACAGAGGCAAACCAAAGAACAGTTTTAGAATTATACATGAAAATACTTTTATGGCTAGGTATGGTGGCTCAAGCCTGTAATCCCAGCACTTTGGGAGGCCGGGGTGAGAGGACTTCCTGAGCCCAGAGGTTCGAGACCAGCCTTGGTAACTTGGTGAGAACTCATCAATAAATCAAAAAATTAGCCAGGCATGATAGCACCAGAGTGTAGTTCCAGCTACTTGAAAGGTTGAGGCGGAAGGATTGCCTGAGCCCAGCACATCGAGGCTGCGGTGGCTGTGAGCACGCCATTGCACTCTAGCTTGGGTGACAGAGTGAGACTCTGACTTAAAAAAAATAAAACAAAACAAAAACATACTTTTATGCTTCCTACAAGAAAGTATTATTTCTAGCCTCTGTGGAATATGCCTATAACTTTAGATTAAGCAAAGAAAATGCAGTAACTACTCAAGACCTTTATTTATTTTATTGTACTAGACTTAGAAGATTTACTTGTACATTTTGGAGGTTTAAATTTTTTTAAAACAAGTTTCAGGGTTTCTCATAGTTTGTGTAGAGACGCTAATTATGTCTACAGCACTGATGAGCAAATACTCCGTCCCAGTTTCTTTTGGATATGAATACCTAAGGCAGGCTAATGCATGAAGTGTTGTGTTTTTGTTCAGTTTGGGTAGGGTTCATTTTTAACCAGAAAATGTATCTTACTGCTTAAACACAAATTATCCTAAATCCTTTTCTCTCATATTTCCACGTCTTCTAGGTAATGAAGAGCTCGTCCCATAAGGGGAAAAAAAAAAAATCTGTCTTGTATCTAGAGTTCAATTTATTTGAGACAGCACCTTTCTTGGGCTGATCAACACTAATTGCTGACTAGTTCTATAAGAAAGCTGCTTCTATGGAAGACTGTGAAAAGAAAAAGAGACAGGCCACCCATCAGATTGTCTCGAAAGAGCTCTTACATCAGACACATGAGGGTTCATTGCAGTCTCAGGCAATAGCTCTCTCTTATAGAGTCCTAAAATGCAGCTTTTTATCAGATGCATTTGCTCAAAAGATCCCAGCTTCAGTGCCTTATAAGAAACATAGGTTCTAGTTGACAGAGAATCAGGTAAATTCTGACATGTGAAAGCTCTACTGAAAACAGTTATGCTAGTAAGAAATAAAGCCTGTCATGAGGTGCGTAATCTTAAAAATACAGTCCACTACACGTAATATTTTGCTATGAAAAGGTTCTCATTCCCCACCAATTAGCCTCTTCTTTTGTCCCAATTTATTTCCCTACATTCACAAAGAGTTACAAGCTTTGCAAAAAGTGCTATAGGTTTTGTAATGAGATGATATATTCTCCACTTACTGAGAATGTGCTTCTGCTAAGGAAACACAAGCTTCAACATGACTCCAGTCTTTATTTATTTATTTATTTATTTAGCAAAGCTCAGATCTTGAGACAGCATGATACAAGAGTAGACATAACTTGCTCAAGGCAAACACATTGGCCTATGGTGGATGTCCATAATGAAACAGTTATTCAGGAAAACGTATGGTCATTGGGTGCTTTATGATTGGTTTTAGGCAAAAGAACTACCAGATATGAAGAAAGTCAGTATTTACTAGACAACTTCACAGTTATAATTATATAGTAGAAAGAGCAATTATATTTGAATTGACATGCCATTTTTAATGTATTTTTCTTGAGAGACTGGTAGATGGTCACTTGGTGGCTGCACGGGTTTTCAGGTCAAATCTCTATCTATGTCTGTCTGACTGCCTGGCTTTTATCAATTATCGTTTTTTGTTCTTTGTTTTCCCTAGTTGTTGGTGGTGAGTATATAGCAGACACCCTCTGCTATGAATATTTGCAGATTAACACATGGAACATCTATAGAAGGTTTTTCTGGCACCATACCACCTCAAGTAATGGAGAGCTTGTTACCCAGAAAAACATCTGTTTTTTTTGCTTTTTATTTTTTATTTTTGGGTCAAAGTCTCACTCTGTCTCCCAGGCTAGAGTGCAGTGGCACACTCATGGCCACCCAGCATTGACCTGCTGGGCTCCAGTGGTCCTTCGGCCTCAGCCTTTCAAGTAGTTGGAACTACAGGCATATGCTACCATACCCGGCTAATTTTTTTTATATGTTGTAGAGATGAGGTCTCACGAAGTTGCCCAGGCTGGTCACGAACCCCTGGGCTCATGCAATCCTCTCACCTTGGCTTCCCAACGTGCTGGGATTATAGGCTTGAGCCACCGTGCACGGTCAAACATCTGTATTGTAGTTAGACTTCAGTGTCTTTTAGTTACACTTTTCTTTGGGCAGATCAGTACCAATTACTGGTTCTGTACTAGCTTTGTAACTGGATAGGCCTTTGGCACCACAAAATACAGCAGGAGACAAGCATTGCAAATGAATGAGTCTAAATCTCACAAAATGGGCAACCTCACAACCCAGACACTCAGTTTCCCTTAAGTTCTCAGAAACAAACAAAAGAAAAGTTCTTTTGGTTGTAGCTTATCTTTTGGTTCTAATGTCTCCCAAATTATATATTTACGTTGTGACACTTTTATTATTAATCAAGATGAATCACTGGCAAGTTGCAGAGAAAAAGACAATAGTCACGAATCAGTGCAAACCAAAGTCAGTTTACCTTAGTTCCTTGAAGGGGTCTGCCCTGACATTAGGTGTTTCTATAGATTTAGGGAACACTGTGCCCTCTGCTCCTGTAAACAAAAGAGAAAAGGAAACAGACATTGGAGATGTTGGAGGAATCACCTGGAGACACAAACAGCACACTGTCTGGAGCTAAATTCAGTGAATCTATAACCAATACCCATATTTCCACCGGCTTTAGAGCCCCTTGATAGAAGAGCATTGGATCAACTCATGCAAACAGCCTTTGTAAAACAAGGAACTTCTCATTTGTAGTGAGATCAGAGCAAGGCCATGAGGCAAATTCTGTCTTGATTTCAGAAAGAAAAAGATGCCTAGAAATGGTAAGGTCTGACTCCTGTCTCAAAAGCTATTCCCAGTCATGCAACTGGAAACATTTTGAAAAGCAGCAGCTAAAGCTCTCTTATTGCAGGACAGGGCACAGATCACATGACACCTATGATATGTAAGCAGTGGGTTAGATGGTAGAAGGCACAGTAAAGTATTTGCCTAATGACAAGCAAAAGTTCTCAGTAAATAAAGTCCTCCCCCCATTATCTTGAAAAGTTAAGCAAAACAGAATACTATGAGAGAGCATCTGAAGTTCAGCGCTTTTACACTTTGAGTGTTAACATTGATCCCGAACCCAATCTAGACATTTAGTTCTCAACTGTGCTATAAGCTTTTATCTTTACAACCTGTCAACACCAGCTGAACCTTTCCAGCTATAAAGATAGTGATTATCTGATTTGTCTGCTCCCTAAGTGTTTTCAAATCATTTAAGCCTCAGTTTATCACAGACAATTGCACTGGATATTACTTTTTCAATTAAACTTAGCTGAGGCAGTATCCTGTACTTTGAAGTAAAGGTGTTTCTTTTTACACACTTGGTATACTTTCTTGGTGATACAAAAAAGGGAGAATAATACCTTGCTTCCAAGTATGAATTTCTAGAATCTTCTCGCATTGCTATAATGTCTAGACATCCTCTATTAATCATGATTATTCCAAACCTAGATTTATCCTGGCATAACGATAAGTATAGGAAAATGATTTGTTTTCTTTACTTTTGTGGCAACCATAGAAATGTTTGGTCTTTTTAATATGAGTAACTAACTATTGCAAGTCAAATCAGAAAATGCCTCTACTTAACATTATATAAGGTCATCAAGTAAATATCTTGATGAATAATAACTTATTCTAAATTAACATTTAGAGTGACTACTATATACTAGATACCCTTATGTACATTTCATTGGTACTAGCTCATTTATTTCCTACAACAATTCCATAAAACTGACAGCTTGCAGTAGGCATAGAGACATTAACAGTGGGGCCATTTAAGATCTTTCTCAGCTCATAAACACTCTTATTTTCAAGACCTCAAACCTCATTATTTTGCATTATTTCAAATATATCAAAATACACATACTAAAAAATTTACAATATTTTTGAAGTAAATTTCATATGTATGTCCATAGTTTCATTTTGCATAACTTATTAATTGTGCCCTTGAGGCTTATACTTTATTGTATTATGGGATACGGAATAAGAATTGGTTGGATTATAGACTATAATGTAGATTCTGTTAAACAGTGTTATATTTGGTTGTGCAGAATGCATGATCCACATCCTCAACATTTTTGTGATCCTTTGAGGAGTACATGGGTCACAGGCTGTAGAGGCAGCTTAGGGCAAAACAGCCCTAGAGAAGTCACTGGACACTGAGAGACAGTGGGATGCGGCCACCAGCTTTCTGAGACCCAAGAATCCACCCCAGCTCCTTTGCTCACCGGGTGCTCACTGCATATCTGTGGAGAGGACATTGTCTACATTGAGCATCTGAGCTCAGGTCCTCTCCAACCTGTTCTGGGACAACTCCCAGCTATCACTACTGTGTTGAACAGAGACTTCCGCTCTCAGAGATGCTTAATTCTTAGTCATTTGAATCTTATTTTAAAACTACGATGAAAAAGCCATATGTTACTCCACTATGGCGATGCATTCTGAGAAATGCATCATTAGGCAATTTATTTGTTGTATGAGCATCATGTACTTATCCAAAACTAGATAATAGAGCCTACTGTATACCCAGGCTACACGATACAGCCTAATACTCCAAGACTACAAATCTGTGCATGTTACTGTACAAAATACCGTAGGCAACTGTAACACAATGGGAAATATTTGTGTATCTAAACATAGAAAAGGCAATGCACGGTGCTACAACATTACCACAGCCATGATATCACTAGGCAATTAAGAATTTTTAACTCCATTATAATCTTAGGGGACCACCCTTGTACATGCAGATGATCACTGACTGAAAGTTATGTGGTGCATGACTGTATGTACCTCAATAAGGAAAGGACAGTTGTTTCTCTTTTTTATTACATTGTCTATACTCTTTAGTTCCAGCTCAAATCTCTCCTCTCTTCTCTTCTTCTTTTCAAGAATTCTATGAGAACTGCAGTAGAAAGAGCATCATCTCTGTTCAAATCGGTTTTCATTGTCTGACTTACCCATATGGTAATTAGTACTACCATGGATCATTTTTATTATTTGAACTGTTATTAGAATATGTGCACACAGTAGGATATATGTGACATTTATTCAGAACAATCATCCAAAAATGAGGAATGACATTTTCTCACGTCAAATGAGCCTGAAAAGACTGGGTCAGCTTCTTTATTCCATCCAAACACCATGCCATGTCTATTTCTTTGTCAGATATAATGATGAACATTCATCTGCTACTTTATTTCTACACCTGGCTGTACAAGGCTCAAGAAGGAACTCTAGCAGGTCCTGACATAACGTTGCTTCATTCAACGTCATTTCATTGTCACACTGATAAGGAAAAAGAAATCAATTCCTGGCCTGGGCCACCATCTGCATGGAGTTTACACACTCTCCCCATATCTGTGTAGATATTCTCCTAAAAGTCCAGTTTCCTCCACATCCTGAAGATGTGCGCATCAGGTGAACTGACAGTCTATGTTTACATGGTCACAGTCCAAGTGAGTGTGAGTGTGTGTGTGTGATGAGATGATGTCCTGGCCAGGGCTGGTTCCTGCCCTGCATTCTGAGTTGTCATAATATGCTCTGCCACCCTGAGATGGAACAGATGGGTGGGAAAATGAATGAAAAAAATGAATGCAAATGGATTTAAAGAAAAAATTTTAAAGTCTATGATAATTTTTGTTGCACCAAAGAAGTATACCAAGTGTGTAAAAAGAAATGCCGGGAAAGAAGTGATGTGGCCCAAAAGTTCTCAGTGAGCCATCACAGTGGTGACTGGGTTTTAACTGTGTGGTAGCAGGTACTCCAGACAATTTTCACTTTGCAAACATTTAGTCCTTGATTTAACTCACAACCACCATCTTGCACTAATTCACCAAAAATTGGGTAAACAATTATCTTATTTATTTGTGTTAATCTTTCTTAAATCTATGTATAGCTCACGTTCATTGCAACGTTTAATATTAGAAGTGTTTGGGGTCTTTACTTAGAAATTTAGTGGTATTTTGGGGACTAGAAATATGCCAAAGGAACTTAACTTTTGTTTATATCAACTAGCCTATGGTAAAATTAGTTCTACTATACCTTGCTTTGGTTTAAAGTTGCAGTTTCCAAGAGCCTTTTGGTAAGGTTAAGAGAGGACTTAATGAACTCTCCTGAAGCTGGTGGCTCTTAGTCTCTGCCACCCTTCTAATTGACTCCAAGAAAAAAAAGTTTCAATATAGTCATCCAGAACATGACGGGCGCTCGCTGCATGTCTATGGAGAGGACACTGTCTCCCATTGAGCATCTGAGCTCAGGTCCTCGGCTTCCTCTGATCTGTAATCAGGCTTGCTATCCTCTTTACTAAGAGGGTGTCTTGTTTTCTGTCAAATCCCTGTTTTCTGGCACAGTGCCTGGCACAGAGAAGTCATTCAACAGATATTTGTAAAACAACCACCACACTCATTTGGCACCGAGCACACACTACCTGGAATTTGTATTGACCTTGCAATCATTTCTCCCTGCTCGTCAACCAGATCTTAAGCTTTGTGTGGGGAGAGACGAAACATATATGGAATACAGGTGGACTGACTTCAGGTTCCTAAGGCTTCTACTAGACTCATCTCCAATAGGCGCTGCTGCTTCTATGGGAGTGCTAAATGATTGTTACGGAATTCCCATGCAGTTCATTACTTTTTAAATAAAAGCCCCAAATCACAATCCAACAAATTAGTTTAACTCCATCTCTAAAATTAAAAGCAAAACAAAACAAACAAACAACAACTATGCCGATAAAGGTATGCTATTTGGGCAAAATACAAACACCCTTTTTAAAGTAGCATGAGATAAAAAAAGAAAGGCCTGTAGTCCCTTCCCCAGACCAAGGGATCTGCTTTCCTAAGATAAGAAGAACAGGAATAAAAACACGTGGGTCTCACATGGCAGTGAGTGCTCAGGCATCTGACCCTAGAGCCCACTTTAGCTCCAGTGCCCCAGAGCTGTGTGTTCTCAATGCTAGGTCAATGTGGTGCCCATGGAAAGGCAAGCCAGCAAAACCCAGAGTGGTGGGCTCTGACAGGTACAGGAGACAGATGATTGACAGGCTTTGGATGGAGGATGGAAGTGAAGAGCAAGACACTCACGTTCCCTCAGTCTGTACTCTTTGATTTTGTTTGCTGGACTTTGGCCAAGAGGGCCCATGTGCTCCACACATTGGAGAACAGACTCATTGATATAACTTCCTAGGGGAAGAGATGAAAGTCCTGTACTAGCGGAGCAACCTTGGGCACGAAGCTCAGCCTCTCTGTTGTTCAATTTCCTTCTCTGAAAAGAAGGGATACTGGCAGTACCTTTGGGAGATCAATGGGAGATAGATCTTGGGAGATGGAATAGCAATCAGTAGTAATAAAATAGGACCTCTATTCTTTCTGCTTATCCAGATCCTCTATAATGCTTTAAATAATTACATTTTTAAAAGATCCACTATGAACTAGAAACTGTACTGAATATTCCTGCTTTTCATTTGATCACCAGAGTAACCCTATGAAGTTGAGACTATTAGTACTCT